CACGCAGAGCCTGCGCTTTCTCCACCACCGCGCTGAGGGTCCCCTGCGCCCGCCCCCGCCCCGAGGAAACTTACCACAAGCCGCCGACGCCTCACGTACAACGGAGAGAAAGGCCTAACGGATGCCGTCCCTCCACAGCTAGGGACGAAGAGAGAATTTCCACTGCCGCTCACAACACGGAACTCACGACTTCCACCTCCGACGTCCGGACGCGAACTGAGCTGAGTCGGCTGACGCATCGAAAGTACTAGAAGCTGACGGGTGGAGCATGCGCAGAGACGTTGGCTCTATGGGCGTGGCCTCCTTCTGGCCCAACCATCGCCCTTCCTTCCCTCTCCCCCTCCTCTCCCTACCCCGCGCGGGGCGCAAAGGCCTCCAAGATGCGCACGCGCGATGGAGCCGCGGGGGCGGGGCTGCTCCGTCCGGGTATGGGGCCTGCGCCTGCGACTGTTCAGTCTTTTGGGTTTGAAGTTGGTGAGGCGGCCCCGCGGGGCGCGACAAGGGCTCCGTGGCCATGCCCCGCTGAGCTGGCTGGGTCGTTGCCTCCACCCTCTGGGAAGCTGCAGACTTGGCTGTGTCTCCGTGGCCCCTGCCTCCTAACCCGTGTCCGGCGGGCGACAGGAGAGGGGACCAGGTCTGGACTTAGCCAGCCCCCCGGACTGCGCCCTTCCCAGGGACTCAGGATTATTATTAAAAATTCAGTGTTAACATGTTGAGCCTAGTGAACATAAGAAAGGTGGAGACGGATGCAAAGACACCCATAGTTGACCTTTAATCAAGGAGACCAGAATTAAGCCTGAGATGTCATTCCAAGGACAATGTGCTTGGTGTTGGGGATTAAACCACCATGACTATTTTAGTTAGAAGGATTTATAAATAGGATACCTTCTGAGAGGTTAAGGGTGGGAGGTGCTCAGGCAGGCTAAATAGCCATCTCAGGCTGGTGAATAAAGAAAAATTAAATTTATTAAAAGGGGATGGAGATATCCAAATGGAAGGGCTACACAGCACTGAGTCAAAGGGTATTGGGTCCATGATGGCAGCAAAAATATACTTGGGACAGTGAAACAAGAAAGAGCATACAAGCAGCAACAGGAGAGCCTAGGCTGGGCTGCTTTGGCTCATTGAGAAGTCAGAGAGAGAGAGAAGTTGTCCTTGGAGACAGGGTCAGGGGCTAAGCCCCTGATGAGAGGCTGCTGCCCATTGCTTCCCGGGTTGCAGGTCTTGTGAGGGTCCCTTTGGAGAGATAGAGATGGCTCTGGTGTGCTAATGGGGAGTGGGGGCTGGGTCCCTAAACTGAGCTAGTTATCTCTTTCTTGCAGGCTGGAATCTTAGGGGAGGTCTCAGGGGAGTGTCTCAGTAGAATATTCATCAGCTTTCCAGGCTTCTCTTTCAGGGTCCTGGTCGCCACTGATTGACTAATGACTCCCTGCCCTGGCACCGACCAATTATCTGGTCCAGAGGCAGCCAAGGCCAACTTACCTACTTTCACAGCTTATCTGGGGCTGGAGCTGAAATACTACTGAGGCCTAGATGTTATCTTTAGGGAGGAATGCTCAGGGGGTCTATACCCAATGACCAGCAATATGCTAGGGGAGGATAGGTTACCCTGGGGACAAGGTTCTTGTTTTCCCAGTTTTGCCCTTTGCTAGGCATCTGGAGCTTCCTGGTGAGTTACCCCACCCTAGTTTCTGTACCTGTCCCATCTAACACATTCCAAACATACTTGTTGTTAATCAAGTATAACTGTCTTGAAATAGCTTTTCATTGAATGAACTAGCCACATCTGTAAGGAGAGTTAGTCGTTACGTGAGCTTTGCCAGAAGAGCAGCATTTTTACAAAAGCCACTTTCTTTGGAGGGAGATACAAACTCACTTTTCCCTTGTTCACCTTCGTCCCACATCCCCAAACTTATCACAGAATCTGCACCCACCCATGTGACCACCCTTGCTTGGCACTCTATCCACATCTCTGAGAAAGCATCCTAAGTACTATCACAAGAAAACTGAGAAGACAGTGCCCATCTACCAGGATTTGTTGTTAATCCTCACCCGAGGATATTTTTTCCAGTTTTTTTGTTTGTTTCTTTGTTTTAGAGAGTGGAAGGGAGCAGGAGAGACAAAGAGAAACATCCATTGGTTGCCTCTTGAATGTGCCCAGACTGGGGCTGGGGATCGAGCCTACAACCGAGCTATGTGCCCTTGACAGGGAATTGAACCCAGAACCCTTCAGTCTGAGGGCCCGTCGGAGACGCCAGGGAGATCTTTTGTTATCTTAATTAGCCATGGTCATCTGGGCAGCTTCACCAGGAAGCTACAGCTTAACTCTCCCCAGGGAACCACCAGGCCATTTCCTGCAGATCTTTGGGGGAAGGAATTGAACAAAGGGAGATATAGGTACACGTGCAGTGAAGTCAGGGTGACCGGGTGATGGGTAATGTAGGGAACATGCTTGTCTGACAGTCTAGCCTGGGGAACAATGGGTAGGGAGTGGACCCCATCAGAAGCATGTGAAATCTTGGAAAATTAAAATCCTCAGACAGAGTTCCTTCCCCTTTGTGTTTTTTGTTTGTTTTAATATATCTTTATTGACTTCAGAGAGAGGAAGGGAGAGGGTGAGAGAGAGAGAAACATCAATGATGAGATAGTCACTGATTGGCTGCATCCTGCACACCCCTTACTGGGGATTGAGCCCAAAACCCAGGCATGTGCCTAGACCTGGAATCAAACCTCGGTCTCCTGGATCCTAGGTCAATGCTCAATCGCTGAGCCACACAGGCCGGGCCCTGCTTGTGTTCTTCTTGCTCCTCTCTTGCACCGTGACCCCTACTCGCCTGCATGCTCTCCTGTTCTCCCCCTAGCTATGTGGCCTTAAGCAGTTACATGGTCATGCAAACCCCACAGGCAATGGACTGCAGCTGGGAACACAAGCTAAGCTAGTCAGATGGTAGGCCGGACTGGACTTTAATGTGGAACAGAAATTCTGGGCAGTGGCCTTAATTCTGGCCTTGCCAAAGACATGGTTGGACTTTTTCCATGGCAAGACAGATGGATATGGGACCTTGGAGGGGGGAACCCCCTTAATTTTACATCAATAAACCTTTCCATGAAACCCCATTCTCCCATGGGGGCCTCAGGAAATTCTTTTCCTCATGGCATCCGAAGAACTCCACTTCCAATGATAACACCTTCACCCCTTCCACCATGTGAGGACACAACAGAATGGCCATCATCTGCAGCCTGAAAGAGGGCCTTCACTTGAACCTGACCATGCTGGCACCTTTATCTTGGACTTTGAGCCTTCAGAACTGTGAGAAATAAATCTCTGTAGTGATAAGCCACCCAGTCAGTGGTATTTTGTCATAGCAGCTGGTACAGACTAAGGTGGAGGCAGAATGATGGCTTGGTGGTAAGCACTTTTGGATGCCTTCTTGTGATTTTTCCCCCCCAGTGAAATAAGCAGCTGAGATTGATGAGGGACAGGAGATTTTGAAGGTCTGAAGAGAAAGGAGAAGGGACAATAGTCATCCAGGATGAAATGGACTAAACTACAGGACAGTTAAGCACTGCTCGGAGCGACTTGTAGTGATCATGAGTTTAAAATGAGACTAGTCAGTATTTTTCCTCCAGCACTTGATCTCTTACCATAGTGGAGACTTTCAGTACCTGAATAGAGTTAATACTGAGTTTATGTTGCATGCACAGAAGAGATTTTTCAATTTGCTACTTACATTTTGTTATCCTCTTCTGAGGCTATTTTTCCCACTGCTTTTCAGAGTGGAAGTGAGAAAGAAACACCAATTGGCTGCCACCCACATGCACCCCAACCAGGGCCTGGAATCGAGCCTACAACCAAGGTACATGCCCCTGGTTGGAATCAAACCTGGGACCCTTCAGTCCAAGGGCCAAAGCTCTAACCACTGAGCCAAACCAGCTAGAGCTGCTACTTATATGTTAATTGGAAATGCTTTATACTAGATTTTGTTAAAATTAAGGATTTTAAATAACAGCAAAAAATATCACACCCTAGTTCCGTCTTTCTAATCAAGGTAATTAGAATAAAGAGGAAAAAATTTTTAGTGCCTTTCTCTTGAGGATGTTGCTGAATAAAGAAGGGTGTAAAACTGACAATTAGCTTTAAGTCTGTCCATTTACATATTGTTT